ATGAGCAGTGCTGGCCTTCGCCTCATCAGCGAGGTGGCAGCTGCCTGCGGTCGGCCTACTGTTCTCCGGGCGCCCGGAGGAAGCGGGGAGACGCCCAGCAGTCATGCCAGCCCCTACGCGCCCCCGACGCCGAGGGACCCCCTGCGCCATGCCATTCGAGACCGCCAGTCAGGCGTCCGGCCGTGGCACTACCACCCTTATCTGCCCCTCGGGGTGTACAACCTGCCCTCGCACCTCCAGTCCCCCCGCACCGCCACGAGTGCGCGGAAAGACATGAGGGACGTGAGCAGCGCGACGGTGCGGTCCCGAGCGGGCTCCGTGTCTCCGCCGGGCGAGACGGGCTCCAGCAGCAGCGAGAGCAGTCCTGAGGTCCAGCAAGATGGTCGGACGCCGCGCCTCTCCTGCCCAGACTGTGGCCGCCGTTACGCAACCATGGCCGGCCTGGCCAAACACCGTCAGTTTCACTGCTTGAAGGATGCCGGCAGATCCTTCGGCTGCAAGCACTGCGACAAGGTGTACACGAGCCTGGGCGCCCTCAAGATGCACATCCGCACCCACACCCTGCCGTGCAAGTGCCACCTGTGCGGAAAGGCCTTCTCGCGCCCGTGGCTCCTGCAGGGCCACATCAGAACCCACACGGGAGAGAAGCCCTTCCAGTGCTCGCAGTGCGACCGCTGCTTCGCCGACCGCAGCAACCTCCGCGCTCACCTCCAGACGCACACCGACGTCAAGAAGTACGCCTGCCGCACGTGCCCCAAAACCTTCTCCCGCATGTCTCTGCTGGTGAAGCACGAGGACCATGGTTGCCCCGGGGTGAGGCCCGCACGCCCTTTGGCGCTGGCACCCGCCCCGACGGTGCCCCTGTGACGCCCATGAAACGCCCACACTTTATCCAGTGTTGTTACCAGTGACACCAGATAATAGTCTGACACTTGCAAGATAACCATTCAGGTGCTAATGAAATCGGAATCCAATCACCATTTACGTGCCACATGTAACGGTCGTTAAGGTTATGCTGCAAAGGATTTGGGAAGTGCACGGTCCTGTCCACTCGTGCCAGTACGTGAAGTGCCAAAGTGTCACGTAGTTCTGATGAATTGCTACGTCTAGTCATGCCACGCCCATTGTAGGTTTGGCTGCCTCGGAAAGGGGGAATCACAAAATATTCCAGAATCATATAATCTTTCGCAGAAAAATGAAATTATTCTCATATACCGCGAACAAAAACTCATACAAACCCAAAAATTTTCAAAGAGAAAAAACTTTGCCCTCGATGCCACGGCCAGGACAATGGCATTGGAATGTGTAAATGTCCCCGTGCATCGCCTTCGCCCCAGGCCAGGTGTTCCCCCTTTCGAAGTCCGCCGTTCCCGAGAGCTTTACCTGAGACCCCCGCAGCCAGACCGGGTCTTCTCAACGTACCTGCATTCCTCCAGCCCCGGCCATTGTGTCGCTGGTGGGGGAGGGGCGGGAGGGACACTGGGGGAGGCACCGTGGGAGTCGCCCCCTTCAGGATAGGAGAGGGAGGGGGGGGGGGTTATGGGAATGAGAGGGAGAGAATGAGTGGGTCAAGAATGAGAGAAGCTGTGTGAGATCTGTGAGTGTGAAGGGGTAAGTGTGAGAGAAAAGGGTGGCGCCGTGTGAGAAGGAACATGAGCAAAGAACTAGCGCGATGAGTGGATGAAAACACAAAATTTATTTGATGGACAACGCATGCGTAGATGCCAGAACGTCAGAAAGAGTAAATGTCGAGCAAAACGTAAACAAGACTAAGAGTGTATTCAAAATACCATCGAACGGTCGAATGTGACGCGCTCACCCTTCCCGACCATGACTTTCCTTAGGACTGGACTTTATATATGACTATATATGCATCAAACTGCCTTCCCATGCTGTCAGAGCCTTATATATTTGCTGTGACTTGCTATGCCAACCTGACTCTTTAGAGACAATGCTGCTATATGTTTTGATAATATGCCAAGCATTACTGTAAAATATGTTATCTGAGAGTCACAATGGCATATGTTACTTTTTGTGCCAATGAGATTCGGTGCCTTCTTCACTACTCTCTGTCTTGCTATTGTATATGCAGATTCACTATCAAATACTTCCTATGTAATATGTATATCTATAGTATATCTATATTTTATACATCTTTATAAATAAAGATTACGAAGCTAATATGTACCTTGTTTTACCTCGCCGCCAAAAATACGAGTCTACAGTCTCCGAAACATCGGGTTCGAGACAATACACTATATTTCTAAAGACACGAATGAACAGAAATAAAAGAAACACATTAAGACTTAAGATCCGTTAAAAGGACACAAAAGAGAAAGAAATAAAGGAAAAGAAGAAGAAAAGAAAGGAATCCAGGTAGCGTCCAGACCTATCTTAATCTACCTATAATCCGTTAATAACCGGATGATGAACTATAATGACATCTAAATACCATCATTTTCGTGGAAGCGGAAGTAGGCATTTAGCATTTACAAACCTGTAGTAGCTAGAGGTTATTATTACTTATTCTCAGCGATTGAAACATTAATCAATTCCAAACACTTATAGTCACGGCCAGAACATTTATATTCATGATCCCATTCCGCATGTCACGAATGAATAACATGAATGAAAGTCATGGTGTTTATAAGGATAATGATAATGTCTACTACTACTACTATTACCACTACTACTACTACTACTTCTATTACTACTTCTACTACTACTACTACTGTTACCACTCTTACTACTACTATTATTACTACTACTACTACTACTACTATTACTACTACTACTACTACTATTATTACTACTATTGTCATTGCTACTACTACTATCTTTACTACTACTACCACAACAACAACAACTACTACCACTATCACTACTATTACTACTACTACTACTACTACCACTATCACTACTATTACTACTACTATTACTACTACTACTACTACTACTACTACTACTACTACTACTACTACTTCTACTACTACAATTATTACTACTATCACTACTAGTATTGATAATGAGAATGATAATGCTTATAATGATAACAACGATAATAACAATGCTAATGATGATTATGATATTAGGAATAAGAAAACAAATAACGGTAATAACACTGATGATTATCATAATAATGATACTGATTGTGATAATAATTATGATATCGATAATGATGATAATGATGATGATAATGCTAATATTAATGATTATGATGATGATAATGATAACGAAGAGGCTAATGATAACAATGAGATGATGATAATAACAATAATGATGATAATAATAATAATGATAATAATAATGATGATAATAATAATGATAATGATAATAGTAATGATAATAATAATAATAATAATGATAATAATAATAATAATAATAATAATAATAATAATAATAATAATAATAATAATAATAATAATAATAATAATAATAATGGTAATGATAATGATACTATCAGAAACAATAATGACGATAATGATATTAGATATGACAATGATAATAATAATAAAGATAATGACAACAACAACAACTACAACAGCAACAGTGATGAAATCAGCGACATTAATGATAATAATAAATACAACACAGGGAATGATGACTATGGCCAATTGATAATAATAACAATCATGATATCAATGATATTAGTGATTGTCATAATGATAAGACAAATAATTGTAATAACAACAACGATATTGAAAATTAGAACAAAAAGAATAATAATAATAATAATGATGATGATAACAACAGCAAGAAACTCCATGCTTTGCTCTTGAGTCACCAGGTCTGAACACGAACGACACACCTTATGCAAGAGTACAATAATATGAAAAGTCGTGCGTTTCTGTTTATCGAAAGTTATAGATATTCAGCGTCACGAACATCCTGATTACAGTTATTTATCAACGTGTGCTAGCAGAAGCCCTGATAATATCCTTCGTCCTCATTCCTCCTTTCCTTCTTTCTCCTTCCCTTCTACAGATATTCGCCTCGTCCCCCTCCTACCCTCTTGGCTTTCCCCTTTCTCTCTCACTCTCTTTCTTTTCTCCTTCTACTCTCAGTTTCTCATTCCTACTTAGTCTCCCCTTCCCACTCCCTACCTCTTTCTTCATCTCCCTCATCTCCCCTCCCCTATTTTCCCCTCTCCTGTCTCTCCTCTCCTCTCCTCACTTTTCCTTTCCATTTCTTTCCATCCCTATCTCTCACGTCTCCTATTTCCTCCTACCTCCCTCTTCTCCTCTCTTTCCCTTTCCATTCCTCTCCATCCCTATCTCTCACGTCTCCCTTTTCCTCCCACCTCCCTCTTCTCCTCCCTTTCCCCTTCATTCCCTCTCCATCCCTTCCTATCGCGTCTCCCCTTTCCTCCTACCTCCCTCTTCTCCTCCTTTTCCCCTTCCTTCCCTCTCTCTCCCTTTCCTCCCACCTCCCTCTTCTCCTCCTTTTCCCCTTCCTTCCCTCTCTCTCCCTTTTCTCCCGTCTCCCCTTTCCCCTTTCTTCCTCCTCCGGTCCCTTTCACCCCTTCCCCCAACATCATTATCAGCATGAATGTGCTGACGTAATGCTTGATGCCCCGTGATTCACTCTCGGTGTGACTCACTCTCGAATACTTGCTGTAAGTGTCAAGGATTAAGCCCATTCCTCAAGAAGCTTAATACCAATGTTAGAAAAAAATTAAGTCCATTTATATTACGAAAATACAAGGATAACGGATACATGTTACATTCTCTATGAGTAAACTGATCAGCTATCTCGTAAAATCGTCATCATGCAATATAATTATCGAAAAAAATATCTTCATTTAAAACCGGAGACCCTTCTTTGTAGGAGGCTGCAACATATCAGCTCCTCTGACAGGAAATGAATTGCACGTTCGGGAGCTGTATAGACTGAAAGGCAGAAACCTCGTTACTCAGATGCGCAAAGAGGGTGACTCGGCAGCGCTGGCGAGTCCTGAAGCCCTGATCTTCTCAATGGGCAGGCGACGAAGGAACCACGCGGGAGCCCCTGAGAACCCCAACACGTGCGGGGATCCACGTCCTCCTGACCCCTTCCGATCCTGTCGTCCGTCCTTCGTGTCTTCGCTCTTTGTGTCGCCTCTCCGTCTTCTCCGCCTTCGTGGGAATAACTCTTCGGTCTATGGTACCCCTAGTTCATTCCCCGAAACAAGAACAAGACAGTGTGATGTTGTGACTGCAAGAATCAGGCTTGGATATAGATTGTATTGGCAGGTCAGTACACTTTGTAATGTCGAAGAAACTAAGTGGAAATTGTGTAATGAAAAATATAAGCCAACACTTGTACTTTATATCTCAGAGTGCCATGTGTTACAGCCTTTCAGACCACCTAGCATGAGGTACGGAGGACTGTGTAACTACTTCATATCATCTGATGTCTTAGAAGATATACTTAAGTTGTATCCTAAATTTGGAATGTAGTATCACATGACCGCATATCAAATGTTTTAATGCTTTTCCACGGCCAGGCTATATGCCGGCGTGGCAGATGTGAAGATAAAGGACTTTGTAATTGTTCCTTTCCTTGAACTGATAAAGTTCTTATCATAACAATGTTATAGACTTAAATTCAGATGTAATGCCACTATGTAATGTTATGACCGTGGATTAAATGCACCACAGCTTGTCCACGCCTGTGCAGTTAGCCAGGGTGGTAAAAAAAGGACTAAACTAAACTAAAAACGAGACCTTGGTGTATATCTTTTACTTGGCAATCATGTTATATCCTTGTATTGTAATATAATGATGTGATGCGCATCAGTTTATAAGAGCTTGCTAAAGCTTGTTTAATTAGAGACTATGAATAAACAAAACAAAACAAGTGCGCTAAGACAGAGGATTGTCAAGCATGAGATCGCTT